AAGATAACTGTCAAAACGAGCACAAACTCAGCACACTTATTTCCACTCGTCGAGGAGTTCCAGTAGCAGTCACCTACTGGTACTCCTCCATAAAGTTCAAGACGTATTTAAGTATATTTATATATAAAACATACTTACTTTTAGCGAAACTAAATATTGTAATAAAAGTCTGTGATTATAAAAATAATATCTTACCTTGTCAAGTACAATTTGGTTTTTCGAATATTTTGTATTTATACTGCGATCTTTTTCGCTGCAAACAAGCGATACAGTATCTACTCACGACGGCGGCCGAGCCCGGAGTGAGCCAAAGTATATTTATTAAAATAAATTATTACAAGGCTGCTCAAAACACCGAAAATTTCGGGATTTCTCGGCCAAAAAAAATTAATTATAACTAAACAAAACAAAATAAAACTGCCATTTACATTCCATGGCTTCCCACATGATAGATGAAGAGATTAAAAATAGATTGAGTTGAACAATAGATATTTTCAAAAGTTATCGTGTTATCCATGCGGACTCGATAAATCCACACCATAAGCCACTAAAACTACTTTTTTTGTGTAAAAATAGCAATTAATCGATTTGGAAAAAAAAGTTCAACAATCCTTTATCTTTCTGACAATTTGCTTTTTATATCATTTAATATGTACAATATGATTGTTAGATACGATTTCATGCTACAAAACATTGAAATGTTAATTTTCAGGCGCTAGTAGAATTATTTCTATGATCTGTGAGAACATAAATACGCGCTTCGCGCTTAAGGCATGCAAAAAATTACTATACCGAACATTTACACGGTGTGACAGAGATTGATTTTATATCCAAAGTAATGGTGAGTGGGTACTGCACGACATGGATACCTGCAACTAACATAGTGACCGACTATATTATATACTAGCGATCCACCCCGGATTCGCACGGGTGATTTCCAGATCTCGACAATAGCGCCACCTACCGGGTCCAATTGTGAATCTAAACCACCCAAGACCCCACTCAAACACACAAAACATTTCATTAAAATCAGTCGAGCCATTTTCGAGTTTTAGCGAGACTATCGAGCAGCAATCGATTGTTATATATAAGTGACTACCGCCGCCCATGAACAACTGCAACACCAGGGGAATTCCAGATGCGTTGCCGGCCTTTTAAAGAGGATTAGGCTCTTTTCTTGCTGGTCCCTAAGTCGTATCGGTTCGGAAATATCGCTGGTGGTAATCGATTTCACAAGGAAGTTGTGCAAGGGAGGAAACTTCTTCTAAATCGCACAGTGGTGGACCGCCAATCATCTAGATGGTATGGATAGTATCGCGAGTCAGAGCTCAGAGTCAGAGCACTGCCCGTGATAGATGCGATAAAATACTCAGTACCAGTGAGTCAAGCCGATCGGAAAGAACTCGGTCGTCGACGATCAGAGGCAGAGATCCATGTGAGGCCGAACCTGTGCCTTTTTCTTTCATTTATTTAAAGGACCACAAACAGATTCACAATTAAATATATATAAAATATTCAAAACAAAGAAACATTATTGTCATTATGAATCCAACAGCGCTGGTTTCATTATACATACATATAATTTAGTGTTAAAGTGGAGCTCATCTTACATTAAGTATAACAAGTTTGATGTTGTTAGTTAACTAGTTAAGAAATCATTAACTAATAAACATTATTAATACATGTGTGTGTATGTATGTATGGGCGTGTATATGTGTGTGTGTGTACGAGTGGAGGTAGGTGTGTGTTTGTTAGTGCGTGTGATTTCAATGAGTTATGTGAACAATCAGAGTTGGATGTCTAACCTTGTAGTTGCAAGCGGTGTGCTGGCATGAAATACTGTCCCGCTCTGCTACGCACGTCAAGCTTTTTAGAGGTCAATTTGGCCTTCTCCTAAATCGGGGTTCTGTCCCCACGTGTGTGCGAATGCGGGGCGAGTCGGTGGTGGACATTTCGTTCGCTAGCCCCGCTCTGTCACCGCGTGCCATTGACTGGCGAGTCATGGAGGGGGTGGAGACCTACTCTGACCACCGGTACATCCGGTTTGACGTCTCCACCCAGCCCTCGAGCGCGCCAGTCCAACAGGCCCCGAGTGGTCCGCGTTGGGCGCTGAAGCAGCTGGACCGAGAGCTCCTCCTGGAAGCCTCGATCGTGCAGGCCTGGGTGTCATCACCGGATAGGCCTGCCGACGTCAATGATGAGGCAGGGTGGTTCCAGGAGGCCATGTCCGAGATATGTGACGTGGCAATGCCCCGCGTCCGGCCAGGAAGCGCCCGGCGCCAGGTGTATTGGTGGTCGCGTGAGCTGACGTCTCTGCGCGAGGCGTGTGTCGCCGCGCGGCACCTGTACGTCAGGCATCGCAGGCTCCGCATTCGTCCACCGAATGCGGCAGCCATTGAGGCGGAGCTGTACGAGGGATACAGAGCGGCGAAGACCGCCCTCCGGGAGGCTGTCATGCGGGCCCGTGAGGAGATGCTGGAGACTCTCGACAGAGATCCGTGGGGGCGCCCTTACAAGATGGTGCGGGATAAACTCCGCACCTGGGCCCCCCCGCTGACGCAGAGTCTCCGGCCTCAGCTCGTGGAGGACGTGGTGAGCGCTCTGTTTCCTGCGCGAGGGGAACATCCGCCCCCGCCTATGGCTCCGCCACCTGCGGTGCCGGAAGCGGACCACCAGGACGACGACGACGGCATCCCGGAAGGGACCGAGGTAGACCTGAGAGTGGCGGTACGTAGGCTCAAGGCCAGGAATACCGCCCCAGGACCCGATGGCTTGCCTGGCAAAGCCTGGGTCCTGGCCTCGGAGGCTCTCGGGCCCCGACTGGAGGGGCTCCTAAGAGCATGCTTGGAGAGAGGCCAATTCCCGCTTCGTTGGAAGACGGGGAAGCTGGTCCTCATTCGGAAGCCGGGGCGCCCTGCGGACTCTCCGTCCGCATACCGGCCCGTGGTGCTGCTCGACGAGGTGGGCAAGCTCTTTGAAAGAGTCATTGCAAACCGCCTCGCCGACCACCTTGCGGGGACGGGGCCGGATCTTGCGGAACACCAGTTTAGTTTCCGCAAGAGGCGCTCTACGGTGGACGCCATCATGCGCGTGAGAGCCCTCACGACGGGGGATGCAGTGGCCAGGGGGGGGGGGGTTGTTTTGGCGGTGTCTCTCGACAGCAGCGTAGTTTGCTACGCTGACGACACGCTGGTACTGGCATAGGGGGGGTCGTACGAGGCGGCGGCGGAAAATATGACACGCGGGGTTGCGATAGTCGTTGAGAGGATCCGGCAGCTGGGTCTTGAGGTGGCTCTGCACAAGTCCGAGGCCATGCACTTCCATGGTCCTCGGAACAGGCCACCACCGGGATCCTCAGCGATGGTAGGAGGGGTATCCATCGGCGTCGAGTCGACGTTGAAGTACCTAGGACTCGTCCTCGACGGCCGATGGAACTTCGTTGAGCACTTCCGACGTTTGGCTCCCAAACTGGAACGGACCGGGGCTGCCTTCAGGCGGCTCTTGCCGAACCTGGGGGGGCCAAACGCCTCCTGCCGGAGGCTCTACGCGGGGATTGTGCGGTCCATGGCCCTTTACGGGGCCCCGGTGTGGGCGCGTGGTTTGGCGCGGCTTGCCGTCCACCACCTGAACGCGCCCCAAAAGGTGGTTGCCGTAAGAATGGTTCGCGGCTACCGCACGATCTCCCGCGAGGCAGCGTGCCTCCTTGCCGGATTGCCGCCATGGGATCTGGAGGCGATAGTCCTCGCGCGCCTGCACGAATGGCGCGCGGAGGCACTATGCCGGGGGGAAACCCCGCTGCCGCGGCAAGTTGTCGTGCAGCGGACAGACTTCCGGCATGATCTCATGGCGACATGGAGAGAGCGACTGTCGCAACCCCGTGCTGGGCACGCCACTATAGCGGCGATAAGACCCCTCTTTGAGGAGTGGCTTGAGAGACGCCACGGCGTCCTCACCTTCCGCCTGACGCAGGTCCTCACCGGACACGGTGTGTTCGGGAGGTTCCTGCACCGAATCGGGCGGGAGGAAACGCCCGGGTGCTCCCACTGCGAGGATCGACCGGAGGACACGGTGGAGCACACCGTGGAGGTGTGCCCTGCCTGGGCGGAGCACCGCCGTGTCCTCGTAGCGGCGATCTCTCGCGTCCGGCCCTGGTCGAAGCCATGGTCCGGAGCGAGACGGAATGGGATGCCGACAGGCCTTGTCGACGGCGCGTTTTGTTCCACGCGCGCCTCAAAGAGCTGTCAGCAGCGTTAAGGGGCCCGCAAGGGCCGACGCCTGCCGGGGCTGCGGGCTGTTCGAAAGAGATACCGCGGCTCCGGAACGTAAGGGCACTGAAGGAACACGGATGGTTTTTAGTCAGTAAAAGTCTGACACTCCCTTCCGCTCCACCCAGAGCGAAAGGCGTCATTTGATGATTATCCATCCGCAAAAAAAAAGGCGTCTGACTGACGTAAACAAATATATACATTCAGTTGGTTATTAATTATTATGTCTACCTCGTTGGTCAAGTGGTCGTAAACGCGGTTGCTGATCATGGAGTACCGGATTCAAATCTCGGCTCGTGCCAAAATCAATTAGTTCTGTCAAGACATTCTCAGTAGCAGCCCAGAGACAGGAAGTTTGACAAGAGACAGGATTGGTGTTTCACAAACGTGGCTCGGAAAGCTCGTTTAAAGCCGTTGTTCCTGGACCTGATCTCTCTCCGGTCGTGTCAGTTTACCGTCCTATCAGACTATAAGAGTGAGGGAATCTAGTGCACCTGTGCTTGCGTGTACACTCTGGCACTATAACCCTGTCTTGCGCAGATGACTAGTCTCCGTTGAAACTGGTCGCCTTGATCGAAATTCGGTCTGGAAGACATTATTTTTTATTTTGGGAATGGTTTCAGACAACCCATCAATGGTATAGACAATAAAAGCACGAACAAGGGATTGTAACGTTAATGAATTTACTATTATACAAAAATCGTAAGAGTAACAAATCAAATAAAACGCACGAGTACAATATTAAATTTATTAGTAAAAAATATTATACATCTTCCAGAATATTGGAGAATCATAACTTAATTATTTAAATATTTGATTATTATAGATTATAGCACTTCCAATTTCTTATAAACTTGCGTTTATACGCTTACTTGTCACTACAGCGAGAAGCACAATACAAAGACTACCCCGGCGTACATTTGGTGGTACCAAAATCCGCCAAGGCCCCACAATACACGTACTGGTGATCCGATCAAACTTACTCTGGCAGTTTAAATGCTTTGCTGATAGGATGCGATGAAATAAAACTTACATGGGAGAGACTTACAGCATGTACATTAGTTAACATTAAGATTAAAATTGTCTCATGCATTTATGATTCTATAAATATAGTAATTTTGGGTACATTACCATAACAAAAATAAATATCTACATTGGATCAACGAGAACTCAAATTATTAATTTCAAATTCTTCGGCTACAATGTTATACACTAACTAAGTACAATGGCACCAGAGTACCATAATGTTGAATTTCACGTCGAAATTAAATGTTATTACAATATTAGTTGCCGTAGTAACTACGTTGTCGTCTTAATTTTAAAATCGTATTATACGTTAGAGCATTGAATAAGATTCTTAAACTTTAATTTTCGCCTTATTATTTTGGTAAAATGTTAAAACAGGTAACAAAACCGATTTAAAACATCAAAAGCCGTAAAAAGCGTTTCAATTTGTTGTAAATATTGTCCTAAAACTTGCTCGCTGTACATCCATTCTATAAAAAAACATAGCCAATACAGAGTTGGCCTGTTGAATAATAATAATAATAATATAAAATATACGGCCTTTACATATTGTGCGTAACACAAACCAACAGTTGCCTAAATCTAAGGAGAGCTAAACTTTTGGGAGGGACATTACCCTTCATATCGTCATCCTACGCGTATATGGTACCAGATTATATTTTTATATACCAATCGTATGTAAAATAAAATAAATTGAAACAAACTTAAGGCTATTACTTAACTTATGTGTAAATGGTAAATATAAAGGAAATGAGCATTATACACTAATATGTTGATAAATAACAGTCGTGTGTTCAAAATTAAAATAAAAAAAAATCACATCAACGTAAAATCATCGGGGCAGTTCAGAGGTTTGTTTACAACTGAATTGATCCCATTATTATGTTTAAAAAAAAACAAAGAACAATATTCCTCGTTATAATCTACAAATAATTCTGGCACGTAATTGAGGACGAAATTAACACCGTCCAGCGAACTGTCACGCTGCATTTGAAAATGAGAAATATTCTTCAATAAATTCGTCACAGAGCCACGAAAAACGACGGCACGAAAATTTTGTACTCCATATAATTTATCGTTGCAAAAATCAGCTTTACCACGCGCGTCATACGGGCCAATGTGGCATGATATGCTTGCGCGAATCAAAACGATTTGCTTAAAATTATCCATATAATCAAATAGCTGTAGGACAAAAAGCACCATAAAACACGTCAAAAACATTACATATAAAATCAGAGTCCACGCCCGTACAAACCTTGATGATGACGCTCTGAAGAATGTTTGGACTTTTTATTTATAATGTACGATTCACATCATCTCACAAAAAGCCTAAGGGTGTGTACAGTATAAGTACGTCGTTTATTATGAATTGAAATAGTACAGCAAAGTCAACTTTCCCAGAAATGTATTATCACTATCTGATGTTTGGTCAAACATACTCAATCCCAAATATATCTTTTTGTGTTTAGCAAACACATATCAGAATTATTTCATACAATAACCAATATTTATTTATGTTAAAAACCTGATATGTTCTATTTAACGCTTTCTATTTGCATGTATAAGGCATACATAATATATGTACAGCCATTTATAACATTTAAAATTAATTAATTGCACAATTATTATCAAACGCGTTTTCAAACCGGACCCAAATTCTCCTTCAGTTATGAGTCGTACATTATACATGAGATTGTGTCACAGAGGCATGCCTATGGAAAGTGGGAATGATTGGTCATATTTTGTAAGACATAACATTTCCTCTAGAAGTTTGCGACACATAAAACTTTCGAGGGCATCAAGGTGCAAGTCGAGACAGGTTGGAAAGTAAGATAAAGATGGCGGCACACAACACAATTCAGCGGCGGTAGAGAGGCAAGAAGTGACGCACTGCCACTATGAATGGTACGCCGTCACGTACGAAGCCGGGAACAAGCCGCGACGGTGCGCGATCTCGCCCTGGAACACAATTTGAAACAAATTCACACCGGTAATATCACGATCAAAATAAAATTTATATTTTGGTCAGTACGAGTTGAAAATTTAAACAAAGTTTCAAAGCGACAGTAGCATAATGGCAGGGTGCGGACCGCGAAACTCAATAGTTCATGGGTCCGAATCTGCTATTTGACTACCGTTGTAAATCACTCCTAACATAAGCATTTGAAGCTTACCAGGAGTGGTTACAGGTAATATTATTAATATGAACAGCATTGCTAGTATTTAAAGAAAAAAACAAAACATACACATCGTAAAATTTTAAATTATTTTTTGCGCGCTGCCCCGATGCATTCGGCTGACTTCACATAAAGTAACACCTTATATACGTCTCATTTCTGAAAGGGTTTTAAGGGAAGTAAATGTCCGCCGAACTGAAACAATGCGTGTTGCTGCCCGTCTTCGAAATAATTTATATACATTTCTCAGACAACTCGATGTTTTCCTTCACCTCCGAGCAAGTGGGAAATCATCACTTTTACACAATTAAATTGCAATTAACAATTTTATTATTGCTAGCTGGGATCGAATTAGATTAGCTAGCACCTACCAAGGCTCGCATTTATGGTATTGCAATGACGATTTATCCATGTCTGTATCAATGTCCAGCAAATTCTATATGTCCAATGTAAGTATATTATGTTGGATTGATAATTACTTCATGTTTCAAACATTGATTTTAAAATATTTAAAGATGAAAATACAATTCAAATTTTGTATACCTGCCACCAGTGCTGATCGGAGCGGTCGGTTACGGTGATGACATCGCCGCGCCTAAACTCGAGCTCCCCGGCCTCTTGCGGTGTGAAATCATACAACGCCTGAACCAACATCTGTAAACAGGGAATTAGGTCCATTTTTATAGCATAGACTAAACATTTTTTTCATTTATTGATGAGGGCTAATAATTTTCTGCTCACTAGATGTCGCTAGTTTTTAAAAAAAAAGACGTTACCCCTACACTAGGATTTTCTCCTGTATCGTGGAGGCAGTTTACAAACACAAATTGCACAAGGACAAACATCCAGACCCGGAACAATTATTTGTAGGCCATACAAATACTTGTTCCGTGCGGGATTCGAACCCGCGGCGCCCTGCGCAGCAACTCATTGCTAAGACACTGCGCCACGGAGCCGTCAAGTTGACACTGAGGTTAAGTTTTTAGTTACACAATGTCATTTAATTGAGAAATTGGTTTTTAATAAAATTTTATCAGTTTCTAGAATATTATATTAATACACAAAACAATGCGTCAGTGGTTTGCTCTTTAATTTTTTGCGCATTTTTAACTTTTTTTTTAATTTTTCTACTTTTGTGATTATTGTGGTTTGGTTTATTTATTTTTAATCTTATTAATATAAAATATAACTAATATTACAGAAAGAAACAATAACCTTTACATTTTCCGAACAAATTAACTTCCCCGCTATGAAATCTGTCAAATATTACACCTCACTTTCTGGTAGCGCCGCCCTGGTGGCAGAAAGTCGTGGATACCCTCATTACAGCCTATCAAAAGTCCACTGCTGAACATAGACCTCCCCCATGGACTGCCTCATAAGGGGGCTATTTGCCGTGGTTTTCATGCTTGGCAAGCGAGTTGGAACCGCAGTTTCTTATTATTGTGATTGTTATTATTATGAAGATGCTGCTACCAATCTCCTAATTCATTTCTCTCTGTCGAGTTTAACGGCACTCACGGAATCAAATAGGGACGTGGATTTTCTTATGCCTTTTATTTAAAACTAGCTGTTCCCCGCGACTTTGCCCACGTGTAATTTAGGTTTTTAATTTTATTGTGCGGAACCCTAAATATTTTTCTAAAATATAAGTAGCCTAAATTACTCCTTATAACATGACCTATCTACCAGTGAAAGTTCCGTAAAAATCGGTCCAGCCGTTTTGGAGATTAGTCGGAACAAACAGACAGACAAAAATGTTAAAAATTGTGTTTTTGTTATAAGAACCGTATATATTTTCATATGTATTTAGTAAAAAGCTGTTATTTTGACATTACAAACAGACACTTTAATTTTATTTATTTGTATAGATATAAGATCGGATAACACTTGTAAGACAAGAATTTTATCGCATAATCAAGGACTGATTATAAGTATTCATCAAGTTGAAAGGTTATGAAGGAAGAGTGATTGCAGACGTATTACCAGATGAACAATAAAAATTACCTACATTTAATGACACAGTCTGTAGGATTAGGTTTTCAAGTAGACGTTTAAGCAGACACTATACCAATACGCATTTTATGATGACGTTTAATAGTGGCCGGTGATTTTGTATAGTAATTTGATGGCAGTCAAAACATTTTTGTTTTAGATATCGCGTTCAATTACCAGGTTCATTTTTTCAACATACTATTTAATTCAACTTTAAACAGAGGGCTCATGGAACGAAGTAGCCTACTGTAGTACAAAAGTACACGAGTGATTTTATATTTAAAAGTAAGAATGACAAACAAACACCACCCAATGGTTTAATCCACTACGAAAACTGAGACCTATCGACACCTAATCTATCCTCCATTAAGAATGAAATGGCGGATGCGTTATCAACATTTGGGTTAAGATGAAATGCCTCGTTAAGAGGAAAAAGGGTCACCTATCACACACCACACGGAACATAGTAGCATTATGCTGCTATTTTAGTGGTAGCACGAATTGGTCAGCTCGACAAATCCAGAATACCAGCGTAAAATAGCAGTTTAAGGCTGCTATGTTTCGTATGGTGAGTGTAGAGAACCGAAGACCCCTTTCACTGGAAACAAGGCATTCCATCTAAGTCTTCAGAGGAGGCCACGCATCTGCATTTAGTTTTTTAATCGAGGATAAATGTAGAAGTCTATGGGCCACATCATCCCCTTAACATCAGGTGGACCCTTATTCTATATAAAAAAAAATACGTTGGTATCTGTATTTTGTGAGAGCGTGGCTCTTTACCGAGATGCAGGCGATCCATACGTGATGCAGTCAGACAATACAGCAATTAATTCTTATACATAGATTAGTTGTTCCCCGCGACTTCGCCCGCGCGTAATTTATTACGATTGGATTTCATGGGTTTTAATTTTTTTGCGCGGAACCCTAATTATTTTTCTAAAATAAAAGTACTCTAAGTTACTTCTTATAACATCAGCTATCTGCCAGTGAAGTCTGGTCAAAATCGGTCCAGCCGTTTCGGAGATTAGTCGGAACAAACATACAGACAGAAAGACAGAGACAAAAATTTTATATAAATCGTGTTTTTGGTATAAGTACCGTATATACTTTCATATGCATTTAGTTAAAGGCTGTTTTTTCGACATTACAAATAGACACTTCAATTTTATTTATTTGTATTGATACAGTGCAGCTTTAGATAAATGATCTACCGACAAATGGATGCAAAGATAATTAGATATATATATTAAAAATTCTTCTAATGTAAAAGTTCGATTTACTAATAATTTACACATACAAATATTTCCATTTAGCACGAATATTTAGCGCGAACATTTTAGATGTAATGTTTTATACACGGTAAGATCAGTGGAGAGTCAGATATAATATTTGTTAAACCAAAAACATTTAATAAATTCAGATTAAACACATTGTAGTTTTAGATGTTTTTTAAAATCTAGATCTTTGGTCTAAATCCATGTAAGGACATGATCCGTCCTTAACCGTAACGCGGCAGTTATGTTTGAAAGGTAAAATTATATTTACTGCAAACTTGCGTATTAACATACTAGAAATCAAAAAGAAACTTTCGAGTTATTTACTTTACGCAAACAGAAAATCCAGTGATTATACGTTTAAACATCTCCAAGGTAAAGCCACGCTGAAGTAACTTATAACTGCAGCACGAATAAGTCGGCTCTATCGGGGAAGGACCGCGTCCGCACAGAATATCAGCGTGAAATAGCAGTAGCTTCTTCTGGGAGGACACACAAGAGCACACACAAACAATTCGTACCATTTTGTCAGTGAGATAAAAGACCTATCTTGCCGGCAATGAAACTGTGGTCAGTTTTGATGTTTAGTCACTACTTACATGCGTACTTATTTGTGGAAGGACGAATTCTACAAGCAAGTAGATGGTGTGGCGATGGACTTGCTTGTATCTCACATTGTCGCCGATATATGGCGTACAAAGAATTTAAAGGAAAGCCCTTTTTTACTCCTTCTGTAAATCCAAGATTCTAATACGCGATATATATATACCTTAACAATTTTACCAGCAAACAAATTAACTACGCTTTTGACTACCTGACCTTAAAACTTAATACATAAATCTAAAATTTCAATGGCGTTAGAGGCACATAATTCTTTAGTTTTCTAATGTTTTCTAAATTATTCAAGATTCGGAAAAATAATAACACCATTAGTCATACTGTATAAAGGGATAAGACTCGTACTAACCAGTATTTAAATAATTAATCTCACCACCATCTATCACAGTTAGCTAATGTTGGAAAATCTTTGTTTCAGACAGCACAGGGTATCTGTGACAGTAAACACCTAGCCGCCGAGTTTCAGTATGATAAGCAAGTATTGCACGATAAGAAGCTTCGGGTACCGCGTCTATGACACAGTGATTATAATCGGCCACAAGCGAGCGTATGCGTACTATACTACCATAATATATCAAAGGAGTCATAGACAAAATTGACATCTTGAAATTAGTTTTCATAAAAATACACTACATGCCGCCGAAGAAGATTAGTCAGTTTTATCATCTGTCAAATTTAACATCCCTTTACTTACAAGATGCAAGAGTGTACAAACTTGATTGTGAATGTGGTCTTTGTGTTTTACAGAGGACAAACAAAATGATCGATAAAAAATCCGCGTAAGAGAACATTACAGCTAACGCGAACCACCGACGCTCCGAGAAATCTACAATCTGTGAACGAACGAATGTTCAAGATCGTCCCTGCCATTATATCAAATTCGATAATCCACAAATTCTCGAAAAAATCACAGATTCCTAACAAAGATGATTCGCGAGACTATCCAAATAAAAAAAAAACATTTAAATTTCAAAGCACACTAGACTTCAAGATACAGTCAGATCGTTCTGCGTAGATCGTACCAAATATTAATCAAACAACTCCATATCAATAAGATGAAGGTAACCCGGGTTAAGTATTAATACCAGGACGTCAAACACCTGCATGTGTGCAGGTTGCCTGCCGTCATAGTGACAGTCGGTGTTGTAAAACACCCGAAATGTCGGAAATCTAAAAATAAGTCAAATTAAATTATTTTTCAACCCACTTCAAAAAAAGGTTTTTAATTCGATTCTATTTTTAATGAGTTATTCAATTAGATTGTATTTTTTTAATGTGTTTTTGATCATTCTCTTTATATTTGAAAGCTGGTGCTTCTCGTGCGGTCCAATATAAATTTGATCAAGATCTGACCAGTAAGTAGTTTTTGAGTTATTCTTGATAATGCTTATTTAATTGACTTCGACTAAATTGATGATGTTCTCATTTTATTTATATTGAAGTTGGTTGTCATTTTTTTTAATTTTACCACTTGTTTGTTTTCAATTTAGCGATACTTTCGAAATTGTTAAAGATAATTAAAGACAAAATAATGAATTATATAATTATTTCTGGTAGTTTTAAAATATTTAACTTCCTAAAACAAACTGTATTAGAATTAGAAAAGGTCGAATCTATAATAATTTCTGAGAAGGCTTCGAAAATATCGACGCAGATAGACAGCGAGGCGTGATGATTCCATAACACAGTAAAGAAAAAGAACCTCTCAAAAGGATGATAGAGTTAGCTGTGTAAACGGAGTTTATTGGTAGCATAGCTGACCGAGTT